GAAGAGCGGCTCCGTGAGTCCAGGTGTTCCTAGCTTGGTGGAGTGCCTGGTGGCACAGGGCATGGGACTGCTGGGTTCTCTTTCCAGTTTGCCCTGTAGTCATGAGCAGTTTGCAGCCACGTGGGGTGGATATGATGCTGGCTCTGCAGGAGTTCAAGCCAGGTGCATTGAGTCATCCTGTGTTTGGCTGGTGTATCTCATGCTCAGGCTCCCAGCACTGTCTCAGACTGTACATGCCAGCCGATACCAGCATGACCAGGCAGTTGCAGGAGCAGAGGACTCCACCCATGTACACTGCACATCCCTGGCCACGCTCCAAGCCTCCTTGATGTGTGCAGCTTCCCAGGATGTGAGAGTCTTGCTGAGAGTCAGCCCCGTCAGACTGTAGAGCAAGGCTCTGTCTGCCCCTCAAGGAGTGAGCAGTGCCCCAAATCGAAGGCCATACCCTGGCTGATAGGGTGCTGCTCAGTGCTGCAAGCTCCCAGGGGGAAGCCCTGCAGATGGAGAGAAATCACTCCAGAGCAAGAAACCTCCTCCTTGCTTCCCCTGAGAACACTACTGCCATCTCCTGCCATGCCCCCACACTGCTGGGAAAGGAGGGTGGTATAGTCCACAGTGTGGCTCCCCTTGCTGGTGATCCTTGGAGCTTCCCCCCGGCTTTATCTTCACGTGGGGATTTTTGCAAACTTCCCCAGCTGCTGGGAGGGGGGAACTGGGCCCGGCTTCAGTGAGGCAAGATGAGGGAATGCCACTCTGTGGGTGGCTGTACTGACTCTCTCTTCCCCACGCAGAACAAAGCCGCAGGGATGATCTGGAAGCACTAGGGCACATGTTTATGTACTTCCTCCGAGGGAGCCTCCCTTGGCAAGGGCTCAAGGTAACTGCCACCTCGCAGTCGGGAAGCTGCGACTTGCCCAGCAGGGTGTAGGCAAGCCCAGAGGGCTGCGGCACCAAAGCCACTCTCCCTCCGGGCTGGAGCCAGTGGGCCAGCTGGCACCAGGGTGGGGAACATCTATAGAGACCAGGCTCAGCAGTATCTGGCCTGCACATGAAAGAGAGCTGAGACCGGCAGACTCTCAGGCACGGGGCTGGAGTCCTTCAGTCAGGGGTATGTCACCATTAGCACCTTTGAGGGCTGTTTAACTTCCCATTGGGGCAGATGCCTGTTGGGGCATGAAATGCAGGGAGCCTGACCCCCAACTCTGGCTAGTGGGTTGTAGCCTATGTCCTCCATCCATGGAAAGAGCAGAGCTTGAAGGGCAGTTTGGGGGTCTGGGAGCTCTGTGTCCCAGTCCCAGCCCTCGCTCCCACCCCAGGCTGGACACTTCCTCTCAGCATGACCTTGATTTCCTTCTCCATGAAATGGCTGCAGGGGAAGGGCCCTGCTGAAAGTGGGGCCTTGGGACTGAGCAGTGTCAAGGGGTTTGGGGAAAGGATGAGTTCTGTCCTTTTACCAAGCATTTTTCTGAAGGTTCTTGCTTTGGCCACTGTCTACTACAGGATGCCACGGTTGTGGCCCACCGGTGTGTCCCTTCCTGGCACCTGGTGGCTGGGTGTGGGACTGCTGTTCTGTCAGGTTTCTGACAAGTCTCCGGGAATAACCAGCCACAGCCATTCCCCTTCTTGCTGTCAGCCCTGGGCTGGGATGCTGGCACTGCTGATGAGCTCAGGATGGGTGGGTGTCCCCGTGCTGGTCTCTGCCAGGCCTTCACTGGTCAGAGGGTTTCTGCTGCTCTGCACCAGGGGCTCCTTCTCTCTTCATGCAGGCTCTGGGGGGTGAAGTCCCTATGAATGACTGCTGAAACCTAGCCCAGATGCCCACTGCATGCTAGTTGATTCAAGGCATTAGCAAGGGGCCCATTGAGCTTGGGGTGGAGTTTGAGAACCCAGGCCTGGGTCCCTGAGTGCATCCCCCAAGCCAGACCATGGTTGGCACTTGTCTGTCATGTTGCCCAGGGCTGAACCCCTCTCTGCCCATCCAGGCTGACACGTTAAAGGAACGGTATCAGAAAATCGGAGACACCAAAAGAGCCACGCCTGTCGAAGTCCTGTGTGAAAACTTCCCAGGTAAGGATACTGCCAGAGCAGGCTAGCACTCATGTCCAGGTTTCTCCTGTCGCCTCCAGCCCCTTTCATGTTCTGCTCACACACGGGGATTTGTTCCAGCAGTGCAAGCTACACTCGTGCCAGGTCTGTGCCCTGGACTCTGTGGCAGAAATGCCCCGTCGGTGCCCCTCTCCAGAGATCTGTCTCAGCCGGCCCGAGAGGCTGGTGTTGAATCCCTCAGGGCGGGGATCTCGCTCCTTGTCTGCAGACAAAAGCCTGGCGCCTGGGAGGCGATGCTCTGGTCACCTGGGCAGGGGGGGAAGACCCGGCCCTGAGCGCGGGCCCAGGTAGCCAGGGATGCTTTGCAGATTGGACGGTTTGTAGCCAGTATTGGCAGCTTCGATTGGACCGGCTGCTGAGGTCAGGGAGGTTTTAAAAAGGCCTGGGCCAGGAAGAAGGGCAGCCATTAGCCATGCGGTCATCCAGGTGAATCTGAACCTGGCTCTCTCCTCATCACCGCATGCTGCAAGAGTGCCCTGCCTCCAGAGGAAACAACAACCACCTCTGGATGATGCGAGTGAGTAACCTACTAGAGATCCGATCAGATACGTAGCTTCAGTAACTCAGATGCGTGTTGAAACGGCTACCTCAGCCACCCTGGTTTGCTCTATGGGATTCCTTTGATATTCCTATAAGATTTCTTGATATTGCTCTACCTTTTACCCTGTTTCTGCCCTACCCCCTGTAATCAATAAAGTTCTCCTTTGTGACCGGTGTGGGAGACTTATTGAGGGGTGGGTCTAAATTATGCCAAGGAGGCCTCTTAGGTCGGTGGACTAAGGGAGGCTTCCTAATCAGCCCCTGACTTGGGGAAGTGCCCCAAGTGCTTATACTGGGTCTAGCACCCATTGGACGATCAGGCCTGTGTTTTCCAAGGTGCGCAGAGCCAGAAGTGAGTCCAGAGCCTTGGATGGTGGCAGCGGGAACCCCAGGCTAGCGGGGGTGCTCCGGGGAAGGGGTCGGCCGGACGGGAGGCACCCCGAGGGAGGCACTCGGAGCCTGGAAGGTGGTCGGGAGCAGGGAGGTGGGCGGCTCAACGCAGGAGCGCCCCCTACTGGCCCGCCACAGACTCCAGCAAACTTAAATGCTCTGTGCTGCCCTGGCCTGACTGCCTCCTAAACCAGAAGCAGTCTGGCTGGTGCCTTAATCCAGCTAATTAGCATGGGAGCTGGCTAACTGGCACCTCCCTCAGCAGTGCTAATGAGTGAGTTCGTACATGGCTTCTCTATGTCCAACTTAAGAAGTAGCTGTATGCAGCCCAGTTTGCTTGAGGACACCTCTCTAGAGTTAGTGATGCCTGGAGCACTAGGGAAATCGCATAAGGAAATCTCCGCTTCTTGATTGTCTGAGGAGGGCTTTGTCAGGCCCTCGCATCACTCCCACCGGGAGAGCAGCCACTCAAGGAGCAAACTCCCGCGGATCATTGTGCATTTTTCACCAGGGCTTGGCCCGGTGCAAGAACAGTGGCACTGCAGTCAGTGCTGCTGCCTGGTCACCATCTCTGTGTTTTGCCCCTGTGGCCCTGCCCTATGTGTGACGGTTTCCACCTGCTGGGAAATGGGCATTGCAGTGGGAAGGGTGCTGTGTGTGGGAGTGAAGGACTCTCCAGGCTATGGAGGAGCATGTCCTGGCTTTACCTGATACAGGCAGCAACTGGAGCCCCACAAGAGGTTAGAGTAGATGAGCTGGGCAAGGCCATCCAGCAAGGCAGGTGCAGAGCTGAAGATAAAAGCAAGGAGGGCTCAGGATCATCATCTCTCTGCAGGGCAATGGTACCTTCCTCCAGCCCCTGAGGCTCTGCCCTGAGCTGCCCCAGCTGGAGCAGTCCAGACAGCCTTCCTGGAGGGAAACCACCTATGCACACCCCAGGGTCTGGGCCCTGGGGAAGCTGACAGCCCACGGTGTAAACCTGGAGACAGCTTTAATTTTACACCTGTGCTCCACTATAGCCCAGTGCCTTGCAGTGTCATGCATTATAGCTTTCCTCCCCTCCCACCATGTGCCTCCCTTCCAGCTTCCACTGCTCCTCCAGGCTCCCAGAGAGTCTCTGCTATCCTAGCAGGGTTGGCAGAAGGGGGATCATTCTACAGGGCCAGTCGGTCGCCATGGTGTGAGCCCTGCCTGGGGTGTGTCTGCCCTTGCCTGGCAGTCTGCTCCCCTGACCCTGGTGTGGAGCTGGGTACTGCCTACACTGAGCCTGCCCTGTCTCTGCAGAGGAGATGGCCACCTACTTGCGCTATGTACGGCGGCTGGATTTCTTTGAGAAGCCCGACTACGATTACTTGCGGAAGCTCTTCACGGACCTCTTTGACCGCAATGGCTACGTCTTCGACTATGAATACGACTGGGCTGGGAAGCCACTAGTAAGTGCTTCCAACTGGAGAGGAAGGAGCACTGAGCTGGCTGATGCTAGCAGGGACTCACCCCCACCCTGCCCAGCCCTGTGCCCGAGCCCCTCCAGGGCTGAAGGAGCTGTGAGGCTGCCCAGGGCTTGAGGGTGGGGAGCAATGGATAGAGCATCTGGGAAGCCAGGGCATGCTAAGGTTTTGGTGGCTGAGAAGCTCTGAGCTCTTTAGTTCCTCTCTGCTTCCTGAGTCCTGGAGTAGTCATGCCTGCTAAACATCCCTTCTCTTGACTATTCAACCCCCTCGAGTTAGTCATATGGGCCCCAGAGTCTGTGTCCTTTTTAGGTCTCTCTATCGCCCCTGCCCCATTGTGTTCTGGATATGCCCTGCTGTGCGCTAAGCAGGCATCTTCCCAGTCTCCATGGGAGGGAGAGCCCACCCCAGAGGCCTTGGCACAGGTGAGAATGTAGCCAGGATCCTGTGTCCCTGTGCCTAGTAGGGGAAGCCATTGTACGTCCATGCGTTTTCAGGGCCCACCCTGCCCATCCCACCCTTCCCCATCTGACTCAGGCAGCAGGAGGCTTTCTACAGCATGGGTCATACAGGGACTTCGGGGCGACTCATTTTTTCCCCTCCTTATGTCTCACTCTGCAGCCAACTCCCATCGGCACAATCCACAGTGACGTCCAGGTGCAGCCCCCGAACAGAGACAAAGCACAGCCACACACCAAGCACCAGGTGAGCTCGGCGCAGCCCCACCATGGCCATGCTGGGGCCCACTCCCCAAATGGCTCGGCAGCCATCAGTGGCACCGGGAACTGGGCTGGAAGGCAAAGCCTGTCTGTCCATTTGGGAGACTGGGGGCATAGGGGTGCTGTCCACACATCGTTGCCCTCCACTGTGGGGATTGGATGGCAGGGGAGGCTGAGCAATGCAGGGCCTCTCCTCTGGCTGGTCCAGAAGAGACATCAGCCTGAGGGAGGGCTGCTACCGCACAAGGGTGGAGAGAAATGGCAGCTCTCCTCAGTGTGAGGTGGCAGCAGGTGCCTGGTGCAGGCCATGCGTCTGGTGGGAGATGGGGACAGGAGTTGCTTTTCCTCGTAGGACGTTCTGATACCTCTCCGCCTTCCCAGGGAGGGCCCAGGCTCTCCAAGGCTTGTGCCATGGGCAGGGAAGGCCGAACTGGTGCTTGCTCCCACTCAGCAGTGGGCAGGATTAGATGCTTTTGGGAGTGGGGCACATTGGAGGCATGGGCGAGTGGGTCTAAACACGTCACGAGTTTCTGACTGGCAGAGGGGCCTGGGGGGTGCCTTGGCAAGCCCTGGGCAGAGGCCCAGTCAGCAGCCTGGCCCCTTGGATTCAGTACGGGCTGCAATGCCCGGCTTGCTGGTCAGATTCCAGGCCACTCTCAGAGAGCGACTGCTTGTGTGTGATGGGCACCCATCCCAGTGGCTGTATCGCTGGGGTCCTGCCAGCTTCTTCAGCAAAGGCTGGGAGGTTCTTCCTGCACTGGTGAGCAAAGACAGGCTCACACAGATTGACCCTGTTGGTTGTAACCAGTTGTCATGGCCTACGGCAGGGTTAGGTCTTTGGGGAAGTCCGGGGAGAGGGGCAGTGAGCTGTGTGATGCACTTGGGCCATGTCCTAAAGCAGTGGGTCTCAACCTTTTTTGTACCAGGACTCATTTGTAAACATCAGTGGCCAGTCCCAACCCAGTGCCCCTCGCTCCTGACCCGCTGCTTCCAGGCCTCAGCCCCGCAGTGTGTGGGGCAGGGGTGAGTGTGTGGCGGCGTGGCAGGCTGGATCTCTGCCAGCCTGCAAGGGAAAAGCCACAGTTTCCCACGTTTTTCTCCTTTAAGGAGAATCCATTTTTTAAAGTGTATTGATCCATTTGAAAAATTTGTTTGCAACCCTTTCATATATGCTTGCAAGTCACTTTTGGGACCTGCCCCTGGTGGGGGATGAGGGAGGCTGCAGTGTGCTGGGATTGTCAGGGTGCCTTGCCATGCTTGCTGCTCTGCTGAGCACGGTTTTCTCGGTCCACGTGGCTGACTGTTGGGTGCAACAAGGTGACTGTGTTGAGATGATCGGTCCTGTTGGGTCACATGCACTTGCCTCTGGTGGGGGTCCCATCGTTTCCCTAGGGGAAGCACTAGCACTGTGATCTGGGCAGCCAGCAGGATTGCAGCCACCTCTTTAGCTGCATGGGAGGAGAGGGGCTGTAGCCATGGGGGCAAAGATGGCTCGGGCCTATGCAGTTGTGTTGGCTGAGCCGTAATCCAGGCTTAGCAATGTCTGGCTCTGTGGAGTGCAGGCTGATGCTTGGCAATGCAGCTGCCTCACCCAGGAGCAGGAGTGCAGCTCTTGGAGGCAGTGAGGACCTGCCACAGGTAGGGAGGATGGGAAGTTTCCAGCAAGGTAGGGGTGAAGTCATGTGGTCCTGGCTTCCCTCTGCACTGACGCCAGAGGCAGGGCAGCAAGCAGACCTCTGGCAGTGCCTTACTGTCTGTCTGTACCCTGCTAAAGAGGCTGCTTTGTGGGGGTGCTGCACGCTGACAACTTTGGGTTTTGACAGCTGCTTCCCCCAGAGCCTGTGGGGACTAGCAGGCTCATTACAAAGCTCCCCCTCCATGGAGCAACCGCTGGGCAGGACGTTGCATCTGTCATGACCTCAAGCCAGAAAGCCTCTGGAAGCAGGCTGCTTGGGAAGACAAACTGGCTCCTGGGGAACCCCAGGCCACTGATACCTCCACGTGGTCCAGGCCCTTTCTGCCCCCACCCACAGGCACTGGGACCAGCTCTGCTGAGCTGGACGCTGTACTCAGCTTCACAGCAGCAACAAGGCCAAGCCATGGCTGGCAGGTACACCCCTGGCATTCTCCTAAGCCTGACACCCCAAGCCTGTCCTATGGAGAGGGGCTGTGACCACCAGGATCTCTTCCCCTCCTGGGGCCCTACCAGAGCTGGGGGAAAGGCCTTGCTAACACTCCTATCAGGAGGCTGCCTGCAACACCAGAAAGCCCCTAGAGCAGCGATCCCCCACCCCAGGCTCGTGTGCACAGAGATGGCAGACTTGGCTTTCCAGAGAGGATGTTTCTGCCAGCTGGGAGAGGAGGGCACCATCGCCCCTTGCACATGGCACACTCTGCATTGCTGCCTGTGGGCCAGCGGAAGTCGGAGCCTGCTGCCCTGGAGGGGCCGTGTCCTGGGGCATCAGTTGTCTGCTCATATCTAGACTCATCAGGCGCATCTGGAAGAGAGAAGGACCCACAGAGGCAGGGGAGCAGCCTCGCTTCAATCCCTCCTTACTACCTCCGAAGTGAAGTGTCAGGCAGCATCCTCCCCCCCGGCTCTGCCAGCATGCAGCCCGTTTGCCCACAGGAGCTGTATCTGCTGTATCTGGACTCCTTCCACAGAGCCCAAGGGGCCTCTCTGGGTTATGGGGCCTGCATGTGCAGAGGGAAAGCCAGGGTGCTCACGGTTCAACAGCCTTTGGCCAAGCAGCATTCAGCCCCAGCTCATCCCAGTCTGGCTGGGAAGCCTGCAGGGCTCTCACTGCCTCCCATGCCTTGTGGAGATGACGCTAGGGCTGCTCTGTTTATATTTTTGCTTTTGCATGTCTTTATTTTCTTGAATTCCTCCTCCATCTCTTCCCCCGTCCTTGCCTCACCTTCCTTCCCCGGTCCCTCCTACCACTGCACCGTTCTCCTTCTTCTTCTTTTGTTTCTCCTGCCTGTCACTAGCAGTCGCCTGAGGGGGACGAGGTGTGGGATCCTCAGGCCGGTCAGCAGCCTGCCGAGGAACCTCTAGGAACTCACCTAGCAACCAGCAGGCTTGGGGGTTCTGTGCAGGTACATGACCACGTGCCGAGTGGGGCTGGGGGGGTGCCGGGGGGCACAGGCACCCGCCTGAGCCGCGATGCTCTTCTGGGCTCAGTCCTGCCCCGGCTCCCAAAAGACTTCATCGGTCCCACTTTGGAACGGGGGACCTCCAGTAGCATAATGGCCCATCAGCAAGCATCCCCCTGGCCCGCCAGCCATGCACTCTGACCCACGTCCCCATTCAGTGGGAAGGCTTGGTCCAGTGCCCAGTGCTGAACTCCAGACCTAGCGTGAGAGGCCTCTGTGCAGGGTCAGGCTCGCGGGCAGAATCACGTGGAGGTGGCAAGCGGAGCTCGATGTCAGCTCTCACACCCTTGTTTTAATCAGCACTGCTCGTTCGATCAGCCTCAAACCGTCTGCCATTCTTGAGCTGAGGTGGGACAGGGGAATCACGGAGTTCTCCCAAGAGACAGGGTTGCCTGTCCGGCCTCGTGGTGGGAAAGGGGCGCCAGCTTGGCTGGTGGTGTCCCCATTTGGATGGGGAGCACAGGGCTTGGCCCAGGATCAGGCAGGGTGCAGCAAGGTGCTGGCCGTGTCCATCCTGCATCTGATTAAACTAGTGCCTAGACCTGCTTGTGCTGGCAGTGCAACACGTGCGTGCCTTTGGCTGGCTGTGCCGTTCAGGCCAGGGCTTGGTGCGAGGCCCTGGAGAGCTGCATCCTTCTCCCCAGGATCAGGGCCCTGCCCCTCTACTTGGCCTGGCTTTGCCTCTGACTTCATTTCCCTTCCTGCTGTTGAGAAAAGCACTCCCTGCCCCCAGATCCTGCCCTCGCTGCGTCTCCTGCCCCTTGGAGGGTGACTCATCTTCACAGTGCTCCTAGCCAGCAATGCTCACCCCCCGCAAGGGCAGAAATCACAGGTCTAACTGGCATCCAGGCTTCACACTAGGCCTCGGTGAATTCTGTCCTTGCTGCCCATCGTTCCCTTCCTAGTGTCCCTTCCTGGGCCGTTCTGCCTCAGCTCTGAAAGGCTAAATTTCCCCCCTCACCAGTCCCATGGGCAGAGCTCGGAGTCGGGGGGATTCTGCCTGGCTCCCTCCAAGAGGGAGACGAGAGGTCATGGGCTGTCCCTGCTCACTCTGGCCACGTGGCTCCCAATCCCTCCGTTTTCCCAGGACACCCTGAGGTGGGATGGAGGTGCAAGTGCTCTAGCTAGTTTCCAGGCTTGTTTTCGCTGCGGAGTCCCAGTTTGCAGGGGTTGGGGCTCTCACCTTGCGTCTGCGAGGCCAGGAGCCACTCACACAGCCCAACTCATCAGGCACTGCTGGGCAGCTCACATGGCGTGTGGCACTCTGAGCCGGCAGGGCTAGTGGATGGTAGATGACTCTGCAGGAAAGACAGCCTCCATCGCTGCTGCGTGTGCGTGTTTGTGTGCGTGTGTGAGCCCACCCGGCACAATTTCCCCTGCCTTGCTGACAGGCTGATCCTGGGGAAGGAACAGCACCCTGGGACTTTGAATACTAACTTGGCCATGTTTGGTCTGGGCTTTAACCAGGGCGCAGCTGGCATTGTCCTGGAGAATGGGGTGGAGAGAGTCCAGCCTAGTGGCACTGCAGCAGCTGAGCTGGCCTTGTCCCCTCATCACTTCAGTTCACTAAGCCTGGTCCACCCAGAAGCTGCAGGAGCTGGAGTGACCTAGCTCTGGTGGAAGCACCCCCAAACCCCAGCCCAGGGCAGGGCAGCAGCTGCAAGCTCCGTTTCTGTAGCCCCATTCCCAGGCTGCGTGAAGGGGCTCTTGTCCTGGCATCCTGCAGCCCTGGTATCTGTGGCTGGTCCCCTCAGCAGGCAACATCTAAGCAAAGGCACTTCAGCAAATCCCCTTGCTTTGCTGCAAGGCTGGGAATGCGGGGGGAGCACAGCACCTTCTGGCAGCCAAGAGATGGGGATGGCTCTGCCCCTCCCCTGCTGACATCCTACTTGGTATCAGAAATGGGCTCTGACCGCAGTGCATGGCAGCCTGGGCCTTGCGCTCTGGGCACTGCCGCTCCCCTGGGCTGCGTGCTCTCCAGGAGGCAATGCGCTTCGGCTCCAAGCATTCCCGCTT